GCGTTGGTGGGGAAACGGTTACTGACTTCAGGTGAGAGAATAGGTATCAAACTTGACCTAAGTGGGAGCTACTTTTTTCTGTTTTTTTTCAGTTTATAAAGGTAATTCGTCATTCCTTTTCTTTCATTGCCCGACTTTGGGCGATATTTCCATCACGGACATCGGGAAGCAGGGCTCGATACGGCGCTAACTGTCAGTGGCTCTTAAAACCCCCAAAAACATTGGGGTTCATTGAAAACTACTCCCTTTGGTGGCCCTGAATAAACCCAACAAACAAAGAAAAGAAGAAGAAGAAGGATTTAGTAAGTAAGTTTATTCAGGTATATACAAATACAGTTACATAGATTATCATACACAGCAGCATATGTGTAAAGTACCTGGGATAACCCAAAAAAGTCAGACAGAGTGACTTATTTCCATTGGGGTCCTTTAAATTAACTTGCGATGGCCGGGACTTCTGCGCCAACCTTCGTCAAATCAAATCAAATCAAATCAAATCAAAGTTTATTCTTTATAAGGATTACAATGCGGGGTTTACAGATTTTGGCTATTGTGTGGTTTACATGTAATAAAGTACTAATTACAGAGGGGGCCACTAGAACACCTAGCATGGCTAGGCTTTTCGGGCAAACTTGGATTAATTCTTAACCCTAAATTATTACAAATTGTGGAGTAAGTTGACTAAATAATAAGTGACTAAATACTAGTTTGTGAGTTTAGCAATGTGAATGCTTTTGTTATGGCACAATACATAGTTTCCATATTGGAGTATCACAGGCAAACTTGTGACTAGTTAGGAATCATTATTTTAAGATTAAGATACGTATTTCTGTGCTTATAGTCAAATGGGTGAGTGAGTGAGTGTAAGTGTGAACCACCAGGTGGTTTTTATGTAGTTAGTTAACAGGGTGTATCAGGGAGATAAGATGTTTTCTAACGGTAGTTTTGAAGGTGATGAATGTGTCTGCAGTTCTAGAGTTTTCAGGTAGGGTGTTCCAGATTTTAGGGCCTTTGACACACATTGAATTTTTGTAAAGGTTTAGTCGGACAGGGGAATGTCGTAGAGATGTTTGTGTCTGGTGTTATGCTTGTGGGTCCTGTCACAACTATCAAGAAAGCATTTTAGGTCAAGGCTAATATTGATTTTAAGGTCCTGTATATGTAGATTGCACAGTAGTAAGTGTGGATGTTCTGAACAGGGAGTAAGTTTAGATCTATGAAGAGTAAGAGGGGGGGGGTGTTGCCAGGGATGGGACGTGGACGTCTGGACGTCTCCCTCTCGCCTGAATGTCGATGATAAATTTCCCCTGTTCTCTCTGGGACGCTTGTCCTCATCTATTTTGCCCGCCGGGCACTCTACAGGAGGGGCACCTGTTCATCGGCTTACTTTTAGCCAGCTCCATTTTTTCTGCTCTGCGGATAATTCTTTAACGATCTCTGGTGGGAAGCCAGTTACTGTGGGTGTGGGTGTCCGGCTATGCTGGGGCTTGGCTTGGGGGTACAATGGATCTAATCGGAAGCTTCAAATTTCTGTCTCTATTCACAAAGGAACTTTTGTTCTTTTTCTCTCTGGTGGCCCGGTGGCCTGGTGGCTAAAGCCCTCACTTCACACACGGAGGGCCCGGGTTTGATTCCCGGCGGGTGGAAACATTTTGACGAGTTTCCTCATACCTGTTGTCCTGCTCGCCTAGCAGCAAATAGGTACCTAGTAGTTAGGCATTGACCTCTTTGCTTTTGGGCCGGGAGGTTGTGCTGCACCTTAGCTCTTGCATTCGTCACACACCCTTGGTGGAGAGCGGACGTTGGTTGTTGTGCTTCTGTCTGTTGGTAGCACTGTGAGATTTTCTCAAGATGGCGCAGGCTGTCAGGAGACGTGTCAACACTGTGTGCATAGAAGTGCTGAAAGGTGGGGTGTATAACACAAATGCATCTGTTCAACTGCCTGCTATCTTATGAGATACATATGGAATCAACAATGGAGATCTGTACGGCCCTGCACCTGCACAGAGGAGACTCACCATGTTTGAAATAGTCAACACAAACGTTAGTGAATAATTGGAAGAATTTTCGTGCTCTAGAGGTTATATTGGGCTTAAAACCTCTCAAATAGGAGCCAAAATTGTTGGATGTGCATTCCTGCATAACTTGAGATATCAGGCGACTGGACAAGACAGCTCCAGGAACCTCAGATAAGCTATCTAAATTGTGTTGTAATTCTGGCCAGTATTATCATCATGAATTTAGTTAGAATGAGGTTTTTGAGTATGATACACATTAATCTCCAGTCAAATTGGTTAGTGATATTAAGATATATTCTCCTTCTGTTATATAAATGTGCATAAGTATCATTTATTAATTTTAATATACAGTCCACCAATTTTTATATTTACCAGAATTCCTGGTGTGTATGTACATTTCATTTGTAATTAATAGGTCTAGAGCAACTTGTGAATATGACAGTGGTAGGTATCGAAGGGGGACATTTTTGCGACCTAGGTGTCCCAAATTCCTACTTGTCTATGTAACTTTGATAAATAATAATTATCTTTGCTATCATTTACTGGTATGTACATTATGAGTTACATCCAGATAAATGTAATTTTCCACAGGAGGTAAGTCAATGGAAATATGGCTTACAGAGATATTTGGAAGGGCAGTTGAAACATTGCTATGAAGGTTTCAGTGGGGTTTATCCAGTACAAGAGATTGAGGGCATCAAAGCACAATTGATGGAAATGCAGAATGCAAGATTTGATGGTGAGAGATTGAGAGGTGGATTGGAAGATGTTTTATGGGGAGATAAGCCTGTGTATTGCGGCGATTAAAGACATGACAGAGGATAATGACTATGATGAAATTGGACATACATACGGATGTGGGAGGGTATACGATGGGACAGACGTTAGTAACTACGGAAAGTATGAGTGGTTATGCTGATAAGTGGTTTGAGATATATATATGAGAGGGGGAAACAGAAAGATAGGAGATAAGAAGATTTTAGAGAAGGGGATACGGAGAAACCTAGAGTCAGCAGATAGAGCAATGATAGAGGGGCCTATAGATGAAGAGGAAGTGTGGACGGCTTTAAAAGGGATGAGTGTCGGGAAAGCACCTGGGATAGATGGAATCCCAAATGAATTTTATTTGAGCACCTGGGATGTCATGAAGGAATTCTTGGTGCAGTTGGTGAATGTGATGAAGGATAACGGAGATAAAACACCTCAATTACTTGGAGCGCTTGAGGTTCCTAAACTGTATTCCCTGGAACGCAGGCGGGAGAGATACATGATTATATACACCTGGAAAATCCTAGAGGGACTAGTACCGAACTTGCACATGAAAATCACTCACTACGAAAGCAAAAGACTTGGCAGACGATGCAACATCCCCCCAATGAAAAGCAGGGGTGTCACTAGCACGTTAAGAGACCTTACAATAAGTGTCAGGGGCCCGAGACTGTTCAACTGCCTCCCAGCATACATAAGGGGGATTACCAACAGACCCCTGGCAGTCTTCAAGCTGGCACTGGACGAGCACCTAAAGTCGGTTCCTGACCAGCCGGGCTGTGGCTCATACGTTGGTTTGCGTGCAGCCAGCAGCAACAGCCTGGTTGATCAGGCTCTGATCCACCAGGAGGCCTGGTCACAGACCGGGCCGCGGGGGCGTTGACCCCCGGACTCTCTCCAGGTAAACTCCAGGTAAGGGAAGCATGAGTCTAACACAAAGGACAGGTGTAGTAGTTATGGTTCCAAAGGGGAGAGTGCAGAATAGCATCCTAGATTATAGAGGTTTATCATTAATGTGCGGGGATTATAAATTGTTTGCCAAGATTTTAGGTAATAGGTTGCGTAAAGTAATTGGGAAGGTTATAGATATGGGACAGATGGGTGTGCCAGGGCGAACAATGTTTAGTGGGCATGGGAGGATAAAGGGTTATATAGAGGAGCGTAGGATGGATGGCGGAGGTTTTCTTGCTTTGGATTGGAAGGCGGCTTATGATTGTGTAGAGAGAGAGACATTATGGATGATTATGAGGAGGATGGGTTTCGGTGAGGAAATTGTGCAGTGGGCGGAAACTTTATATAGAGGTACTCACCTATTTGTGGTTGCAGGGGTCGAGTCTTAGCTCCTGGCCCCGGTGCAGAAATACGAGTGAAAATAAATGGAAGGGTGGGGAAGATGGTTAGTACGGGTAGGGGGGCTGAGGCAGGGATGCCCCATGTCTTAGATCCTATTTGCATGTCTGCAAGACCCATTATATAGGCTGATAAATGGAGGAGTAAGTGAGGGGGGGTAAGACTTAGGGGTGCTACGGGTATAGTTGGTTATGTTGATGACACGACAGTCTTAGTGGGGGGAGAGGAGGGGTTAAAGAATGTAAACAGAATTGTTGAAATATTTAGTGGAGCAACAGGTATGAGTGTTAATAGTGAAAAGTCGAAATTACTGGAGGTTGGGCCATAGGTGGGAGGGGAACTGGGAAATAAGTATGGATGGCAGGTCGTAGAGCAGATAAAAATTTGTGGAGTATTGTACAGAGGGGCAGCGCAGGGGGCTAGAGAGGCAAATTCTAAAAGGGTGAGTATGTTAATAACAATAAAGTAAATTTTTTTTTGGGGGGGGGGGGGTGAGTCACCTGCTTCGTACTATGGTCAGGTGTATATCAGCACCATTATGAATAGTGTTACTTTGTGGACTGGAACAGTCACTGATGATGCCTCTTTTTATACATATTTATATAATTTTTATATACGTGACTATCTATGTATATTTGTATGCACTGTTTTAAATAAAACAAAAAAAAAAACCTAGTAGTTAGTCGACTGGTGTGGGTCGCATCCTGGGGGACAAGATTAAGGACCCCAATGGAAATAAGTTAGACCTCGATGACACACTGACTTTTTTAGGTTTTCCTGGGTGGCTAACCCTCCGGGGTTAAAAATCCGAAGAAAATCTTATCTTATCTTATCTTATCTTCTCATCGCCCAGCCTTGAGCAACAAATCTTCCTGATATCATCGAGAAGTCAGACTCGGTACGGCTTATGGTGTCAGTGGCCCTGATAACACAACAACAAGGAAGAGAGAAGAAGAGGGAAGGTTGTTGTCTTGCAATATTCTGCAGCAGTTTTGTTAGAACATGAAGGACAAAGTACAAACAGGTGATTATTATTTTCCGATAATTTGCTTATTTCATCAGGACAGCATTATATGAAGATATTACATTTTATAGTTTTCATATAGGTGTTATACACCATTTTTTTTTTTACATTGGTCATAACTTCACTTCTGCTACGACTTAACTTACATAACATTATGTAAAATTAGCCTAGGATAAACAGATTTATATAAATATCTCGCTACGTAATGAAGATCAGTGCTGTACATACATACATAGATATATACATACATATATACATATATTCATATATATACGCAATGAAGAGTTAAAATAAGATAAGATAAGATTTCGTTCGGATTTTTAACCCCGGAGGGTTAGCCACCCAGGATAACCCAAGAAAGTCAGTGCGTCATCGATGACTGTCTAACTTATTTCCGTTGTGGTCCTTAATCTTGTCCCCCAGGATGTGACCCACACCAGTCAACTAACACCCAGGTACCTATTTGCTGCTAGGTGAACATGACAACAGGTGTAAGGAAACATGTCGAAATGTTTCCACCCGCCGGGAATCGAACCCGGGCCCTCCGTGTGTGAATCAGGAGCTTTAGCCACCAGGCCACCGGGCCTGGTGGATTCGGTGAAAATGATTATGGCTTATTCTAGATTTTGTCATAGACTATATATTTTATCTCATATAAGCATATACGTATGTTGTATTCATATACGTATAAGTAAGTAAGTTTATTCAGGTATACACAAATACAGTTACATAGAATTATCATACATAACAGCGTATGTGTAGAGAACCTAGGATAACCCAAAAAAGTCAGACAGAGTGACTTATTTCCATTGGGGTCCTTTTACCATATTATTATAATATAAAGGTTATAATATTTTCTTATTATTCTATAATGAAGATAACATTATAATACTAAAAAGACTATCTACTACATGAGGGTCATTAAGACTATCTACAATATTAGGGTCATTACTAGGAATAAGGTAAAATTTACACTTATGTTAGCTAAAAAATAGAAAATCATTCCCCTCCCTTTCTGTAGCTACATTCATCAGACACCTTTTGGCACACTTCTTGAACTGGTTCATGCTATGACTGGCTTTGACATGTGCAGACAGTCTGTTCCATTCCTTTATTGCTGTACAATAAAAGGTGTTTGAAGCCTGGCCTCTGACTGTGGGTACTACAAAGTTGTGCTCTCTCCCCCTAGTACTATGATTGCTTTAGTTCCCAACCTTGACAAAATTGACAGCAAGATATTCTGTACACTCTTGGTGAGCAATTTTATAAACATGATTTAGCATCAATTGTTTTACTCAGTCTTCAACATTCAGCATATCCAACTGCTGTAATTCATCCTGGCCTACATGTTCTCTTGGTCCCAGCCCCAGGATGAATCTTACGATTTTGTTTTGGGTGATTTGCAGTCTATCTTTCAATTTTTTTTTGTCAAGGCAGAGTACCATGAAGAGCAAGCGTAATCCATATGGCATTGTATAAGGGCTAGACATGGGTCCTGCGAGCCTCAGTAGGTAGACACTGTGCTTGTCTATACAGGAACTTCAGTCTGGCATTCGCTTTCTTTACTACACTGTTCCCTATCAATTCTCCTGACATGCATGGGTCAAAGGGGATTCCCAGATATTTTACTGATGAAACCAAAGTGATGGGCTCCCCATTACACTGGACATTAAAATTATTTACCCTTCTCAGTTTATGTTTCGTGCCAAAGAGAATGGCTTCTCTTTGACAGTATCGAAGGCCTTTTGCAGGTCTAAGGTTATCATACCTATGAGGTTCCCCTTTGACATTTCAGTTCTCAGGTAATCCATCAGATTAATTAGGGAGGTGTCGGTTGAGTAAGATCTTCTAAAGCCCGATTGATAGCTATGGAGAATGTTGTTGTCATTAAGGTACTTAACTACTTGAGAGTACTCCGCCCTCTCTAGAATTTTAGATATTATACTGAGTATACTAACAGGCCTATAGTTGCTGACATCAGACCTACTATTTTTCTTGAAGATAGGAGTAACTCTGGCCTCCTTGAACCCCTCAGGTACGGTATTAGTGGTGATTGATAGATTTATGTGAGCAATAGGGATTGATAGTTCAGAAGCACCATCTTTTAGGAACTTAGACGGGATGTTATCAGGGCCTGTGCTCTTAGTTGGGTTTAACCTGCTTAGTTCTTTTTGAATAAAGTCATGAGATACACTTACTAGTTGACAACTGTTTGGGGTTACCCCTTTATTGGTATAGTATGTTTGAAACTTATCAGAGTCTGTGTTAAAGGTATTTGATGCAGCTGGTAGTTTACTTACTAGTGTTGATGCAACAGATGTGTAGTAGGAATTAAAGCAATTTGCCACCTTAGATGTTTCGTGGCATACCTCATTATCGATAGTGAGTACTATGTTAGACCTATCTACTGGCTTATGGCTATACCCCAACTGTTTTAGTTGTTGCCAGAACTTTCTGGGCTTATGCTTATACTCTTCAATTTTTGAGCAATAGTGCTTTGCCTTTGCTCCTTTTATAAGTCTCTGTACTCTGTTCCTCACCCTTTGGAATTCATTTAGTGCTGCAATATCCTGTCTGTTTGCTTTAAATCTTTTTAGCAGCTGGTCTCTGAATTTCATATTATATAATATCTCAGTAGTCATCCAGGGTTCAGTTCTTCGTTTAATTCTAACCTCTTTAACTGGTGCAATATTATCAAGGATGGTACTGAACATTGTTTTGATTTTTTCCCAGGCATCGTTTACGTCTGTGCAACTTGTTATCTCTGTCCAGTCACAATTGTGTAGCCTATTTACATCCTGCGTATATTCAGTGAAAAATTGCCATGTCATGGTGACTTGAGGATAATAACTTTGAATTTACGTCTCATTCTCTTTTGTAACTTGTTTAGATGTGTATATTCTTATTAATATCCTCAGATAATATTCAAAGATTGCTTATGACAGTTACTAGTAAAAATATAGGTAATATAAAATGTCTCGCTACTTACATGTTAACAAGCTTATTATCATTTATTAAGTTTAGGTAATATAGATCCAGATCATGAGAGTGTAGTATTCATACAGAAGTAGACTTGATGAGGACTCGACCTGTGGTTCTGGCCCCTCAGGGAGGGTTCCTTGATGCTGGTGAGGGGCTCTTGATCTAGGAAATTGGATCTGTGCTCCAGTTCCTGAATTGAGCCTGAATACCTTCCATTACCCCCCACAGACGCTGTATGATACTTAATGGTTTAGGGCTCCCCCATGACTATTATAATGTGGTCCTGGCATGTAACAGGCCTTGGGCCTGCTACATGCCTCGGTATTTAAAGACAACCTCCTGTATTCATGGAAATAAGTCACTGTGACTTTTTTGGGTTATCCCAGGTAATTTATACACATGTTAAACTGTGTATGATAATTGTACTTATGTGTACCTGTACCTAATAAACTTACTTACAAAGAAAGGTTGGTGAAAGGAAAAAGGCAAGTAATGGTTAGCAAGTAAGTTTATTTAGGTACAGGTACACATACAGTTACACAAATTATCACACACATATTAACATATGTGTGTGATAACATGTGTAAATTACTTAGGTTAACTCAAAAAAAGTCAGACAGTTAAGACACATGTGCAACATCTGGTTATTTTTATTGTAGACGTTTTGCTGTCTAGTGGTTTTATCAATACAGATTCCAGGACATAATTATATATATAAAAAATATGATGTAATCAGTCCCTCAGCCTTGGAGTTGGTGTTGAGAGCACCGTGGTGGTGGAGAATCTGGAGCAAAGGCAAGGAGACTGGCAGTTATATAGGCGTTAGTGGATAGGGACGTGTAGCAGACGAGGGCATAGTCACTGGTAGGCGGGATTCCCCAGTGGAAGTAGGTCCTACCCAAAGGGATGGATTAGTTGTAGTAACCGTGAAGAAGGTCTTGTAAATGTCCTCTGAACCAAGATTCCATGATGTTGCAGTGTCTGACAAGTTGTGCAAGAAAGGTATAAAATACCGACAATGTGAAATAACTTTCATATTGTCAATATTGTGTACCTTTCTTGCACAAAAGTCAGACACTGACATATTTTCATGAATAAAGTCTGAAGGACACAAGTTTTCCATGTACCAAGTTCACCATTTCACACTGCCTACTTGGTTATATAGTATAACTTAAACACCTTTCATACACTGTACAGTAAATTTCCCTTGCTCACATTTTGCAAAATTTTGATTTGATGTAAACAATAATCTTAAATAGTTTATACATTTTGGCCTTATCTGAACAGTAATAGATCAAAAGTGATTTTCTCCATAAACAGTAGGATTTTTGCAGGTCAACCCATTGTCATAGAAAATTTGAATTCTGTCTAAAAATTTATTTAATTTAGAATGAAATCATATGCAGTACTGAAAAAATTAATTAAAGTGCCCCGTGGCCTGGTGGCTAAAGCTCTCGCTTTACACGGCGAGAGTCTGGGTTTGATTCTCAGCGAGGGTAGAAACATTAGGCCCGTTTCTTTACACCAGTTGTCTATGTTCACCCATCAATAAAATGAGTACCTGGGAGTTAGTCAACTGGTGTGGGTCACACCCTGGGACAAAAACTGACCTAATTTGCCAGAAATGCTCTGCATAACAAGCAGCTTTCTGTATAGTACTAGTATGTCATTGATGTCAGCTAGGGCTGTATACCATGTACATGTACTTGCTCTAAATAAAGATATTATTATTATTATTAAATTATTCTCTTCCTAAATTTTATTAAAGTAATTATGGTATGTTCAGTCTCTATCAGTTTGGTTTTCCAGCCCTGAAGTGGTTAATTCATAGAAAAAGTATGATACATACATAAATTAATAATTTCCTTCATATATTAATGGCTCTGTAATTTATATAATGTTCACTATTCAGTGTATGTACATCTTATGGATTCAGAGACAAAATCTGAAATTTGAGTACTTAGTCTTGCTAATGCCCCTTTAAGGAATGTCTGATAACACAGGTCATGGACTGGGCAGAGGGGGCATTAACCTCCAAAACACCCTCAAGGTATAGACATATGTTGTGACAGGAAGAATCCCTCTTATTTTATTAGAGCTGACTTTTATGTTAGATCACCTGTTTACTTAAACGATTACATTACAGTATTTGGCATATTTCAGTCTGTGGCTTGGTGGATCCTGACTCTCTGGGTCAGACCCTGACTCATGAGCATCTCTTCTTGGATTTTGATATTGCTTTTACCCCAGCCAAGCCAGAGGAGAAACACATGGAGGATTGCAAGTTTACTATGGAAAACTTGGGATGGATCAGGCAAAACCCGTATGTAAAGTCTAAAGATAAGATTTGTTTGGATTTTTAACCTGGAGCGTTTGTCACCCAGAATAACCCAAGAAAATCAGTGTGATATTAAGGACTGTCTATCTTATTTCCATTGGGGTCCTTCATTCTCGTTCCCCAGCATGCCATCCACACCAGTCGACTAACACCCAAGTATCTGCTTATTGCTAGGTGAACAGGGACAGCCAGTGTAAGGAAACATGCCCAGTGTTTCCACCCTTGCTGAGGATTGAACCATGGACCCTCGGCGTATGAAGGGAAAGCTTTGCCTGCCAGACCATGGACCACCTAAAAGTGTTAGGTAGTTAGCATACTCTTCATTTCTGAATATATTTGTTTATTTAGTGTTACCTTCTTTACTCTGCAGTATAATTCTATGATAATATACTGCACAACACAACCAGAAACTGGAAGAAATAGTTGGTAATGTATTTTTGAGCTGCTTATGATTCATCTTCAGTAATGATAAAGAAATTGCTCTAATAATGTTTTATTTCAAAAAGCATAGAAACGATAAAATTTTTGTGAAAAATTCTTAGTATGCACAGCATTTTGGGCAGACTTTTAACACGGTCATTTCCCACCGAAGCAGGGTGACCCAAAAAAAGAAAGAAACACTTTCACCAACATTCAACACTTTCACCATCATTCATACACAATCACTGTCTTTGCAGAGGCGCTCAAATACGACAGTTTAGATGTCACTCCAAACAGCCAATATCCCAAACCCCTCCTTTAAAGTGCAGGCATTGTACTTCCCACCTCCAGGACTTGAGTCTGGCTAACCAGTTTCCCTGAATCCCTTCACAAATTATTTCCTTGCTGACTCTCCAACAGCTCATCAGGTCCCAAAAACTATTCATCTCCATTCACTCCTGTCTAACACACACACACACATGTCTGCTGTATGTCCAAAGCCCTTTCACACAAAACCTCTTTTACTCCCTCCATCCTTTCCTAGGATGACCCCTACCCCTCCTCTCCTCCACTACAGATTTATACACCCTCTTAGACATCCTGTTTTGCTCCATCCTCTCTAAATAACCACACCACCTCAACAACCCCTCTTCAGCCCTCCTAATTTTCACAATATGAATTCTCTGCATAATATTTACACAACACATTGCCATTAGGCACAACATCTTCACTGCCCCCAGACTCCTCCTTACTGCAGCATGCTTCAGACCCATATGAGAGTGTTGGTATAACTATACTCTTGTACATTCTTTTCTATGCCTCCATGGATAATGTTTTTTGTCTCCACAGATACCTCAATGCACCACTCACCTTGTCCTTCATAAACCCATCTACTGACAAGTCAACTTCTAAATATCTGAACACATTCACTTCTTCTATACTCCCTCCCTTCAATGTGATATCCAGTTTTTCTTTACCTAAATTGTTTTGATACCCTCATCACCTTACTCTTATCTATGTTCATTTTCAACTTTCTTCCTTTACACACCCTCCCAAACTCGTCCACTGACCATTGCAACTTCTCCTGAGAATCTCCCAAAAGTGCAGTATCATCAACAAAAAGCAATTGTGTCAACTCCCATTTTGTATTTGATTCCCCATAATTTAATCCCACCCCTCTCCGTAACACCCTAGCATTTACTTCTTTTAGAATCCCATCTATAAATATGTTAAAGAACCATGGTGACATTACACATCTCTGTCTAAGGCCTACTTTTACTGGGAAGTAATCTCCCTCTCTCCTACACATCCTAACCTGAGCCTCACTATCCTCATAAAAACTCTTTACAGCATTTAGTAACTTACTACCTATTCCATACACTTGCAACATCTGCCACATTGCTCCCCTTATCCACCCTATCATATGCCTTTTCTAAATCCATAAATGCAATGAAAACTTCCCTACCTTTATCTAAATATTATTTATTTATGTGCTTCAGTGTAAACACTTGGTCTACACATCCCCTACCCATTCTAAACTTTCCTTGTTCATCTGCAATCCTGCTCTCTGTCTTACCTCGAATTCTTTCAATAATAACCCTACCATACACTTAACCTGGTATACTTAGTAAACTTCTTCTTCTTCTTCTTTCAACAAACCGGCCGTATCCCACCTAGGCAGGGTGGCCCAAAAAGAAAAACAAAAGTTTCTCTTTTCAAATTTAGTAATTTACACAGGAGAAGGGGTTACTAGCCCCTTGCTCCCGGCATTTTAGTCGCCTCTTACAACATGCATGGCTTACGGAGGATGAATTCTGTTCCACTTCCCCATGGAGATAAGAGGAAATAAACAAGAATAAGAACTAGAAAGAAAATAGAAGAAAACCTAGAGGGGTGTATATATATGTGCTTGTACATGTATGTGTAGTGTGACCTAAGTGTAAGTAGAAGTAGCAAGACCTACCTGAAATCTTGCATGTTCATGAGACAGAAAAAAGGACACCAGCAATCCTACCATCATGTAAAACAATTACAGGCTTTCGTTTTACACTCACTTGGCAGGATGGTAGTACCTCCCTGGGCGGTTGCTGTCTACCAACCTACTACCTAGGACTTAGTAAACTTATTCCCCTATAATTTTTACAATCTCTGTACATGCTTTCTGCCAATCCCTAGGTACCTTCCATTCTTTCATACATATACTGAAGAAAAATGCCAACCACTCCAAAACTATATCCCTATCTGCTTTTAACATTTTTGTCATGATCCCACGAGTACCAGCTGCTTTACCCCCTTTTCATGCTACATAATGCCTTAGGCACCTTCCCGACACTCACGTCTGGCTCTTCTTCACTCCTAAAAGATGTTATACCTCCCTGGCCAATGCATGGAATTACTGTCTCTCTCTTAATCAACATTTAACAATTCCTCAAAATATTCCTTCCATCTTCCCCATACCTCCAGCTCCCCATCTACTAACACCCTTTTCTGTTTTAACTGACAAATCTATTCATTCCCTAGGCCTTCTTAACCTGTTTATCTCACTCCAAAATGCTTTCTTATTCTCAGCAAAATTTGTTGACACTGCCTCACCCACTCTATAATTTTCTCTCATTTTGCATCCCCCTCACCACTTTCTTTTACTCTCCATATAATTCACCCTTCTTATATCACTTCTGCTTTGTATAAACCTCTCATAAGCGACCTTTTTCTCTTTTATCACTCCCTTTACCTCATCATTCCATCAGTCACTCTTTCCTCCTGCGCCCGCCCTCCTGTAACCACAAACTTCTGTCCGCATTCTGACACTGCATTTTTAAAACTATCCCACCCCTCTTCAACACCCACACTACCTATACTCTCACTTGCCCACCTTTCTCTGAATAGTTGCTTATATCTCACCCTAACTTTCTCCTCCCTTAGTTTATAAACTTTCACCTCTCTTTTACTTGCTGTTACCATTTTCCTTTTACCCCATCTACCTCATACTCTAACTGTAGCTACAACTAGATAATGATCCGATATATCCGTTGCCCCTCTATAAACATGTACTTCCTGAAGTCTACCCATCAACCTTTTATCCATCAATACATAATCTGAGAAACTACTTTCATTATGTGCTGTATCATATCTTGTATACTTTTTCTTAAAATATGTATTACTTATTACCAAACCTCATTCTGTACATAGTTCATTTCACTTCTATCTAAGACACTTGTGCACACATGCACGCACACACGCACACGTGCATGCATGCATGTATGCACACACTGCAGCCGGAGTATAGCCTAGGGGGCTAGAGACTACAAACCTCACTCATGGAAAAGTATAACACCGGGCACATCTCCTGAGGTGCACATCAACCAAATAACTGATGCAGCATATGGGCACCTAGCAAACCTAAGAACAGCATTTCCCCATCTCAATAAGGAGTCGTTCAGGACCCTGTACACTGTGTACGTTAGGCCTGTACTGGAATATGCAGCACCAGTTTGGAATCTGCACCTAGCCAAGCACATGAGGAAATTAGAGAAAGTGCAAAGGTTTGCAACAAGACTAGTCCCAGAGCTAAGGGGCATGCCCTAAGAGGAGAGGTTAAAGGAAATCAACCTGACAGTGCTGGAGGACATTAGAGATAGGGAGAATATGATAATGGCATATAAAATACTGAGAGCAGTCGACAAGGTGGACAGAGACATAATGTTCCAGAGATGGGACACAGCAACAAAGGGGTCATAGTTGGAAATTGAAGACTCGGATGAATCACAGGGATGTTAGGAAGTATTTTTTTTAGAGTTGTCTGGAAATGGAATAGTCTGGGAAGTGATGTTGTAGAGGCAGGATCCATACATAGCTTTAAGAAGAGGTATGATAAAGCTCATGGAGCAGGAAGAGTGACCAAGTAGCGACCAGTGAAGAGGCGGGGCCAGGAGCTATGACCTGACCTGTGCAACCACAACTAGGTGAGTACACGCACACACGTGTGTAAGTTCTGGTAGCAGTTTATAAGTGAATAGAACTGTTTGAAATTATTGAGTTATGTACAAGTCAAAGCTAATTACTGGATGAGCAGGGAAAAAAATCATTATGCAGTGCAATATAAGCATTACTAATATTACTGATGAGATAAAGATTAAAGTTACAGTCAGAAAATTAAACTTGAGTGGCAGGATTAGAGAAAGGCAGGGATACATAGGGTAATAAGCTATCACTAAAAATAATAACTTAATGGTAATTAAGGAAATTTGTCTTAGCACATTACATAGAATTATATGATTGAACTATTTAAGGACAATATACGTACTTATTTTAGCTTTTACAGTGGACCCCCGGTTCGTGATGCTATCGGTATCCGATAAATCCGGTAGCCGATGCATTATATCGTAAAAAATTTGCCTGGGTTCCCGTTACAAAACCCGGTATGCGATGCGATTCGTACGAGACGTGTCCACGTGTGGCCTGAACTGCCCCGTGTGTGCCAGTGTTTACAAGCCAGCCAGTGTGTGCGCATCTAAGGATACATTTGGTACATTCCATATTATCCATATTATCACTGTTTTTGGTGC